CGCGCGCCGCTTCGCATTGCCGAAAATTCGGGTCTACTCACCGCAACATGCTTTGTCCTTTCTGCTCGACCCATAACTTTTCAATGCGGAACGCGGTAAGTGTTGTGTGCGAGGTTTAGTACAAAACCGCGCGGACGTAGGACCTACGCATACCGATCAACAATGCAGCCTCACGCAAGCAGTCGTGATGACGGCGCATTATGTGGTGCCCATAACCGCATGGCCTTATTCGAGCCATGGGGCCACTCTCGACGCTCGGGCGTCGGCTGAAGTGCGCGCTAAGGGGAGCGACCCTTTAGCGAGCGCAAAACCGGCCTGAGGGCCTCACCATCCTTTGCACCCTGAGGTGTCCCAAAGGGTGCGGGGTAAGATGGTCCCTAGGGCAGGAAGGAATTCGGAGCGGTGGTGAGTTGTCTGGCGCATCACCAGCGACACACTAAACCTTCCGCCCGGAACTTTATCGTTCCACCAAAATAAATTAAAACAAGGAAAAAGAATATTTTACCGTTAGCAGAAGAAAACACGAACACCCCGCCGAACCGAGTTGTTGGGGGACCCTCAGCCTCGCGACGCTTCTGTCTTCCAGGTACAGCGTCATGCGGGCAAGTAAATCAGCCTCCACGCGAGGGGTGACCCCTTCTGCGCTGAGCCTAGAACCTGGGACGTCCTGGACAAGGACCTCGAATTCCAGGCTCAGGACTAACGTCCGACCAAGCAAAATCATCGAGGAAGAGGACGACGTAGATATATGGTCGCCTAGCCTCATGAGGGTTACCCGAACATACGCCTACTTTATTTGTCACAATACCAAGACGAGGAAAAGGACAATCGCAATCAAAACAAAGAGTTGCGTGGTAGTTCACTCTCACGACAGTTGTGTGGGTTGCCCATTTGGATCCAAAAACATAACCATTCAACAAGACTCAATCGAGGTTCTTCCATACATACCTGCAATCATACGCATGGCATTCAAACAACATCGCACACACTAAAAGGGTCAACTTTTCAACCTTCTGCAGCTCACACCCTGCCTTATGCAGACAAGCCCAACCATTTCCCCACCTTTCCTCAACCAAAATACTCAGTCTTTA